GACAACAAAAACAAACATAAAGCAACTACAGCAAAAAAAAAAACACGGGTTCCCACCACCATCATCACCGTCAACATCACGATCATCATCATCATCATCATCATCAGCATCAGCATCAGCATCAGCATCAGCATCATCATCATCATCATAACCAAACAAACATCATAGTAACAACGCTCCTCCTCCTACTACTAATCATCATCATCACCATCATCATCATCCTCATCATCAAGACCTACCATCCAAATCATCCTCAGCTATGCGGAAGAGCCCCTAAGAGTCCCTAAGCCCTGAACCCCAAGGCCTCGACGGTTTCCACGATCACGCGCTCGTGACGCAAGCCGAAGAACTCCTGGGCTTCGGGCTCATGGCTCCATAAAGGCTTCTATGAAAGGGCTCCACATGAATTCCAGAAAGGGCGCTATAAACTATCAGGGGCTTGTTCATTTTTATGGTTGGAGCCTGTAGCTCGAAAATCGCCTTGCGCCTCGCCCTTGCACGCTCCTGCGCGCACACGGTTTTACACACATTCCCACCTTGAAGCCTTGATAAACCTTCTTACACTACTTTATCACCCTTGCGCTCGCACTTGCACGCGCTTGCGCCGTGCTGGTTTTGGAGCAGGTCCTAAACCTGCATCAACATAATAAAGTGCGCTGCTAGTCTACTGTCAAGAGGCGGGCGTTTAGAACAACTCTCTAATAATAAGTGGTTCTTTAATGGGCTTAAAGGGTTTAGGACTCTTAGGGTAAAGGAGTTCACGGGGCTTCAGGGTTTGAGTATCGGCTTGGCTGCAGGGGATTATGGGGCATAAAAAAGGTGTCCGACTCAGAACGTGCAGTTAAGGCCATGACTCTCCTTTCCCTCAAATCTGCGATGCTAGAACTTTACACTGTGAACCACCTTCTTTGTGAACCCGACTTAGCACAGCCCTGGCGCCTGGAGGCCCAAGGACGGCTGCTCAGCGTCCGCCCGAGGCAGAGCAGCGCCCGGCGCAGCTTGTGGTACCAGGGTGAAGTCTGCAATGTCCCTCTCTAGCCTGGCTCCAGGTTCAAACTCACTGACAAGATTGATCCGCAAGAAGCGGCAGTTTGTCTTGTTGTCGTTTTTTGTCAAGATCTGTCTCATACGTTATGTGTATGTATATATATATATATACATACATACATACATACATACATACATACACACACATATATATATATATTATACATATACTATCGATATGGACCCTAACTTGGTGGGATCCTTCCTCTGAAAAGTCTCACCATGACATGAAAATCCTCTACACCATGAACCCCCGAGTAGCGAAATATCGAGGCCTCACTGTGCCTTAGGGCTCCCTATGCAGATATTGTATGATGTAAACCAAAAACCTGTTTTCAATTGTATAAAGTATAAAGGCCCCTATATTTTAACTAGACAAAACCTTTTCAACAACTTTTTTTATGCATTATAACACCGTTTAGCTTAACCCGATTCTGAATTACATAACATATATTGTATATAATTATATCTATCTAGTATTATATTATGATCATTACAAACTATGATTATTCTTATGGTTATTATGATTACGGCCCCTTGTTGAAGCCCCCGGGCCGGGAGCCTCTGCGCTTGTGGCGTCTGAAGGAGCCGAGGCAGGGAGGAGGTGGATGCAAAGGCGTTTGCTCCGGAGAACGTCTGCGACCTCCAACCAAGGTAGGGCAGGTTGGGATTTTAAGGATTCTGGCTGTACCAGTAGGGAGGAGGTACAAGATTTGGGACGCAAGTTCAGAAGCTTTTCGGATTTCGGGCGGCCACAGAAAGCGTAATCTGGCAGCTTCACAGCATGAACGGCGCTGGACCTGGAACCTGACAAAGCAATCTTCAGGACCCGTGCAACCAAAAGGCGAAACAAAAGCTGGCAGAACCGGCGTCCGAGGCCGGAGCCGGACATTTCCAAGAAAGGAGACCGAAAGTGTGATCTGCCCAGTTACAGTACTTGACATAAAATAACACCGGCAAATGCACTGCAAGGAATGACTCGCCGGGCTACTGCTCGGCCTATAATGACGAATGCACGCTCAAGACTAATGAAAACCGTGTCTTTTAAACGCGAAACGAGTAGGAGCCCTCAGTGAACCGTTGAGGGAGAGTGTCTCATCAATCAGGGTCTAAGTTGTCTTCTGGGGAGTTTCAGAACATAACTGAACCGCGGTCAATTTCAACACCAGAGCTCCAAGACCACCGACGCAAAAGCCCTGAAACCTTACACCCTGACGTACCCTGACCACCATAAACATACAGAAGCAACACCGTCAGAACAAGAAACACCCAGAACCCTCAAACCCCAAGACCCCGAGACGGAAGGAACCCTCATAGGACCCTTTATGGGACCCGTCAGCCCTCCTTTCCGTTGCGGGCCTCAGCCGCGCCTCTCCAAAGAGCTGCTCCAGCGACTTGTGCACCGCGGTTCTCCGACTCCTGGGTCTGTGCCAAAAAGATAATATGCAGTATAGTATGGTATACTATACGATAGTACAGTGCAAAGTAACAGTCTAGAGTAGTACACAGTGTAGAGTAGTATGTAGATGTATATTGTATAACATATATATATATATATACACATATACATATGTGTATATATATATCATCGAATATAGTATATATTAGTAAACCACGAAGGTCTTGCCCCAAACCACGAGGGCAAAAACAAACAAAAACCACGAAGCCATAATAGGGGTTCAACCATATCCTGAAAGAGAGGTTTAGGGTAATTTGTTTGGAGGGTTCGGTTTTAAAAAGGTGTGCCCGACAGGTCGCGAGAAGGTCAGCGCGCAGTAGCATACCATACGCTACTGCACAACAAACCGAACGGAAACATGGTGCTGTATACAAAGATAACTCTCGCGGTTGGAATGCCGGCCCTAAAACCCAATTTTGTGGCGGGTGCTCCCTAGTTATGTGATGTGCAGGGGTGCGCCCTAGATCTTGGGAGTCGGGATCTAGGGAAATTCCGTGGGCACTGGGCCAGGTCTAGGCCCATAGCCAGTGCCAGGGCTAGGAACATGGAATGCGCTTCGGGGCAGGCCTGGCACCTGGCTCCATGGTATAAATGTTTAGAGTAGTAGGTTTAGGGTTTAGGGGTGCGTGTAGTGTAATATTTATTTGAACAACAAGGACAGAGCTCCCTAAGAGCCCGAGGCAACGGCTTGGCCTTCAAAGGCATCCCCCAAAACCCCAAACCGCAAGCCCAAAAACCGGCGAGACCGGAAAGCCGTTAAACTTCAACAAATCCGCCCCACCCCCGCGGAAGAGCCCAGGGCACCTTGGGCCGCTGGAGCCAACCTGAAGGCTGTCGGCTCGACGGGAAATATCGCTCGCGTGTTTGGAGGCTTTAGGGGTTCTTGAGGGGTTAGCTTGTTACTGAGTTGGCTCCAGGTTTTCAAAAACGGAGGGGGTCTGGGAGCCTTGAACCCAACGCAAATCTGAACATGCTTGCGAAAAGCCGCCAGTCCGCCAGTCGTCCTCCAGGCACGTTTCTGAACGCATGCTACGGCTGAGAAGGACCAGACAAAAAGGGCAGACCCAAGCTCGTCCAAGACCCCACTTTTTAGGGCTTCAGGGTTTTAGGGTTTAGGGTTTGGGGTATAGGGTTTAGGCTGACCCAAGCCAAAGCCCGGACTCGAAGGAAAAAAGTCTGACCGCAAGCCTTTTTTCGCTCAGATACCCCCCTAAGAACCCGCTGAAACACGCAGGTATTCAACCCTGAAGCCTGAATATGAGCGCCAAGCCTCTAAAGTCTGCAAACTTGCAAGCCACAGACACCTCCTAAAATAAACCTCTTGGCAAGCACAAAAAACTCTGTGCTTGTAAACCCTCAAATCCGCAGATGCCCCAAACAAAAACTTCCTCAAACATCCTAAACTTTCCTAAACCACTAAATCCCAATTTCCAAAACCCTGAGCCCAAGGCCCTCGACCCCAAAACCCTGAATCCTGAACGTACGAACTCCCCGGTGCCTCCACCAGACGCTCCGCTCGCTCCAATTGCCGGAGCCCCTCCGAGTGCACGTCCACCTCGGAGTGAAGGGGTTCAGAGGTCAAGGGCGTAGGACACTGGAGACTCAGAGGTCAGATCCAGGGCATGGCGGGTGTTGTCAACTGCCTGAGGCTTCATAAATCTTAAGAAGTTGTGGGAAAGTTGAGCCAAAAAGGGGGTTGCATGGCCTTGAGCGGCCTCAGAGTAGAAACCCTGACTTGCAGCCATGCCCACCACCGCCGCTGTCATGCTGCAGTCGGCGCCCGAGGCCACCGCGGTCTTTAGACGGATCTACTTGGTGCTCATTGCGAAGATGTGAGCCGGGTTGCTTGGTTTAGGGCCATGCTCCAGAGGTCCGCTCTTCCTGTCCCTACATCCCGCGGATGCACAGTAGAAAGTCACTACTTCCACTTGCATCCTCTAGAGACTCATGCAGCTGATCCGCAACAACAATCATCCCTCTATCAGTCTATCTGTCTATCTGTCCATCTGTCTATCTATCTACCTATCTGTATGTCTATAGGTGTGTGTGTGTGTGCATGTATGTGTATATTATCTATATATATATATACATATATATATATATACATATATATATATATATATATGGTTACATACCCTCGTATTATTTGTGTGTATATGTACTCGATAAAGATATAGATTGGCCATGGACTGTTCTGTACAGCGGGCTAGGCAGCATCTTCGAGCCTGCAGCAAAGCGCAGCAAGATGATGACACAAGCTCAGTACTGCAATGATCTCCCGAAACATGATGGCATAGAATGCCCTTCATACCTCAACTGCAAGGTGTCCTGACGTTTACCCACCGCCTTAGGCTGCTAGATGCATACAATCTCGCCACGATGGCCAGTGCATGCACACTGGAGGCTGGAGGCATGTGAGGTTTCCAGAATTCGGTCCTTTTGTGTCCGCGGCATCCAAAATCCTCCTCGCTGTCATTCATTAAACAGGACACGTGTACCGCAGAACGCCCGGAGCGGCACGCACCGAGTAATCCATCAGTTTGAGGGGGGTGCAATCAATGTGCTGTGAGCTAAGCATCAGCCACAGAGGCGCTTGCAAAAAGGAAGTAGAGTAAAAGTTCAAAGGGCTGGGAGTTTGGGAGCAGGCAGGTAGGATTCCGGTAAACTACCCTGACGCCTCACTTCCAGTGTTCTATGCGGCGTCCACAGCATCCTTGGTCTTTGTCCTCAGCATTCTGCCAGACTGCTCAGCTGGTCATGCAGCGGTCTCAAAAAGTGGATCAAGGATCGCTGAAATAACACAGCAGTACACCATAACCCGCCCCGCTGAGCTGCCAACTGCAGGTGCAGCTGGCTCCTGGCTTGGGTCAGCGGCAGGCTGGCTGCATGGGCTGTGAACGGATGGGATTATGCATTCAGAGCCGCCCCTTGCAGCTACTCATTGCTGTGTCGGGGATGTCAAACTTACTGTGAGTTCTTGTGGGAGCCTCGCTCGTGGGCGATTGCAGGGGCCTCACATGGAGACCTCCGGTGAGCAGCTCGGGATGTTTGTGTTGACATCCTTTCGCAACGAAGTCCCCGAACCTGAAGCTTCGAAAGCAATCACAGGTCCGTCCTTCGTCGCTCATCTCATGCGGAGGGGACTTCGCGAACCTTAGTTGAAACATGACCTGCAGGGGTTTTGGGATTCAGGGATCTTATAGTTTCGATTTCTGACTCGGGGTTGCATTCCGTCGTAGAAGCAACCAAACAAGCTCCGCAGCTTGTTGCCGGAGCTTCATACACTCGGGATGCGATCCCTCGGACTGGCTTGAATGCCACTGTCACGTTGCAAGAAACGACAAGCAAGTTTTGCACGCATGCCTTTGGAAAAGCCAACGCTTCAGCGGGGCCCAACCCCCCAAATCCCACTCTTGTAGAATTCGTCCAGAATCCTCCCGAATCTTGCAAACCCCGTTCTTCACCAAGGCTTTGGCGGTTTCGGATCCCACCGGGACCGTCAGGCCGGGGCTGGCAAAGAGTCTCGGGCTCTTGGGGGTTTGGGGCTTCTATCGGGAGTACGGGCTCTGGGGACTCTGGGCTTTGGGGATCTGGGTTTCGGGCTGAGTATCTGCAGGGCTTGGGAATGCTTGGGAGCTTTGGGGCCTTGGGGTTTCAGAAGCACATCAGGAAGCCCCAACAGCTGCACCAAACTGCTTTCATACCTAACGCCTGCAAGAGCTTCGAGGCTCAGAGTTTCGGACAGCGTCGGAGTGTGCAGGTTACAGTTCTTTTGCTGCGTGGTATCATGGGCAGGAGGATGTTGAGCAAACGGACAAAGCCGTTGCTCTGTTCGGCTGGCGACGGTAAGGCCGATAGCCGTCTCGGTTGCCGTGATGGCCGTAGCAGTAGCGGCAGCAGCAGCAGTAGCAGCAGCCGTAGCAGTAGCAGTAGAATAGGAGTAGTAGGAGTAGTAGGAATAGCAGTAGCAGAAGTAGCAGAAGTAGCAGTAGTAGTAGCAGCAATAGCAGTGGCAGTAGCAGTAGCAGTGGCAGCGGCAGTGGCAGTGGCAGCAGGAGTGGTAGTAATGGCAGCAGCAGCAGCAGCAGCAGCAGCAGCGGTAGCAGCAGCGGTAGCAGCAGCGGTAGCAGCAGCGGTAGCAGTA